GTTCCATATCTACTTTTACATAAAATATTCTAATTCTTTCTATACTACATTTTGAGGATACTTTCGCAGTTTTGTTTTCATAATTTCAGGTATAAATGGTATAAAGATTCATAAATTTTACTTAAATCCGTTATATTTTCTATTTTTCGGTTATGCGAGTCATTAGAAAGCTGCACATAAGTACTTAATAAACAAAAACGATCAGTAGTTTGAAGATTGAGGGTCTCAAAGTAAATAAGTCTAGTTCTTAAATGAATTGTGAGTAGTAGACAATTCTAGGGACTAGATAAAAACTAAATAAAAAATACATTAATTGGAAAGTTTAATTCAGTTCGCGTAAATTTTGAAAATTTAGTATTTTGGATAAGTTTTTTACATTTTGGGTTTACTAATTGCAATTATTGATGAAATGCAAACATAACAGGCTTAATGTTAACGTCTGTCGATTAAATGGCAAGCAACCTTGGTTTGGTTTATTCCTATGTTTAGCTCTCTATGTCGATTATTGAGGAAATTGGGTAAATCTCTTTATTTTATTTGCCTAATAAATAATATATAGCGTTTCGATATTTCACTCACCTCGCTATTTCGCCTATGAGAATAAATTGAAAGAAATCCGTAATATTCTCGCAAATTTTCAATTTTCCGGGAGCATTTTAGTCGTAGCTGGAATAATTTAAATCCAGACCAGGCACATGTAAAGTGAACCAAACACGAAACATACGTGTTTTGTTTTGTAATTAGAGTTGTTCAGTGTTTTAGTAGGTTTAGTTTGAACCGAAACGATAATTACGGTTATTGAAAAATCGTCGAATAGTGCTTTAGTACTAGTGCATTCATGGCATAATGAACAATGAAACCCACTAACCGTTTTTTCTCAGAACCAGAGTGAAACTCGGCTTTTTCACGTTACAAGGCGTCGAGACAAAGATGTGAAAATATTTTTATTGCATAAGGCAGCTCGTTGTAGGTGTGTGTGCGGCCAAACCTGTATTTTATATCACGTTCGATACAGTATTTCTATATTATATTATTTCACTGGTTTACCTACGCATTGCGTCTGGTTGCAATATGTAGATATTACAAAAACACAATATTGGATTATATTTTCAATCACACAGCTTATCCAATATTTGTTGTTTATTTATGAATTTATGAATCAAATCAGTTAATTAAAGTAGTAGTTCTGTTAGGTATTATAATATGGTTACGAAAAACCATTAAAAATTCACGTGTAAACAACATTTATTTGAAAGTAATCGTTTAAACAGATTCAAATGCTTTTTTATTAGTTGTAGAGCATGGCTCAAAGAGAGATAAAAATTCATTAAAATACGCTTTTGGAGTTCAAAACAGGATTTGCTTTTCAAATTTTCCTGTTGATTGGGAAATCAAAAATTATTTAATGAAACAAGCTAACTGTTAATTGTATTTTGCGGCTTTTGTTAAAGAGCTATAAAGTGACGAGCGTTCAGTTACCAAGAGTGACGAAACATATCGTTTTTCTAGTCATTTCCTGAGATTCAATACACGGCAATGTGTAAAGCTATAATCAACCCATTTGAAATTCAATGCTCATCAGCTGCATTTGTAATTAATTAATCCGTTTATATTGACGTATTTTAACAATCAATGAATTAGTTACATTGTTTTTTCTGTTTGCAATTAAGTACAATCTACAAATTTGATTGAGAATGAAAGGCAATTCACAAGCCTTTTCTTTAATAGTTTATTATTATAATTAAAAGAAATGGAAACAAATATTGCAAACGTGTGAAACTTTCGAGTAGTTCATATATGTATGTAAAAGTTATGGGCCAATGAGTAATTTTATACACTTCCACGAATGATAAATGGATGCCTTCGTAACAATTTATACTAAATATAATATATAATGCACTAAATTTAGTCGGCTTAGCGATGAATTAAGCCGATTTAAGTCACATTTCATAGAAATGTTTATGTTCATTTTAGGAAAGTAAAACCCGTTTAGTAAATGTTTTCCCAAACATCGGTCGTTTTTCTTATAAAGTTACTTACCGTTACCAAGGCTCAAATGCACCAATGATTTTCTAAAGCTTTATAAAATGTAAACAAGTCATTGGTTTTTAAACAAATAATTTGCCTATGTTAAATTGAGTAATGATGATTTTTAATTTAATTTAATTTTTTAATTTAATTAAACCGAAGGAGTATGAAGAGATTTGAAAAATATATACATTAACATTACATTAAATGAATGAGTTCGAGAGCATAAGTAAATCTTGCGTTTAAACCTGGAAGTATCAAAACGAAAATATTCGGAAAATGTAGCAGTTAGAAGAAAACAGACTGTTTTATGTGAAAGTAATAAAGGTACTGTATTTGTATTTTGCAAAAATGATCACGTTAAATTATTCATCATTTAATAGGGAGTTTTTGTATCTTTTGTGTGTGGTATATAATTATTAAAAACCATATTGGTGGGATGCTGAAATCGAGAGAGAAATAGAGGGACAGAGACCATTGTATCACATTTACTTATCTCAAAAAACAGAGAATATCAGATTAAATTACAAGGGCGCGCAATCAAAAGTAAAAAGGATGATTAGTGACAAGAAAAAGGTAACATGGTCGCAAAAGTGTCAGAAAATAGCCTCTTCTCTAAGAGGTCGAAGAAGTACCGAAAGATGGAAGACGATTAAATCAATTAGAAAAGGCCCCGAAAAAAAACGCCCAGAGATATAATTTCGCCAATATCAGATACAGAATGTGATGTACACTTTAAAAAACTTTTAACGGAAGAAAGAGTGGAATTTCAATAAGAAGAAATAAATGATGCCTTTAGAACTATAGGATTTCCACAACCGTTAACACTTCCTGTAGTGAAAAACGTATGCACATCCTTAAAAAGGGAAAAATCTGCCGGACCCGGAAATGTCCCGACTGAACTTGAATACGGTACTGATGAACTGTTTGCGAGACTACAAAATATTTTATTTTATTTATTTATTTTATTAAAGAGTTGTAGAGTTAGAGATTAGGAGCATGGATGACGATTTATGGGCGAACAGAAACGAGTGGAGATTGGGTATCGGAAGACGGGGGACGTTATAAAACCGATTTATATAAATATACTTATAAAAGGTGCAAAAGTTTAGTTTGTCTTATTTTCAATCAGTTAGTTACTTATATATTTTGAAAGATTTGCCTATAAACATTTCGTCAAATAAAGATAGACTATAACTAACAGAAAATGTACGAAAAAAGTGATTATACAGATTTTGAATGAAATGCATGGTTGGTTTCTCAATGGGTAGCCACCGTATTAGAAAATTTACTATCTTGTCTGATGTAAGATTTTTAAATTCAATTGATTGTATGCAACTTTGTATGTATACCATTATTTGAAAAAATCTAAACTTAATCACCCTGTACATCAAAATTGAAAGCAAATTCTATTAAATTTAGTTTAGATGATAAGCTGTGTCGGTAAAGTATTGACTAATGGAGTAGTGTTATACACGGGACTGATTTCAATTCGTTTGCAGTTTTACTGCTGTAATGATCCATAATTTTCATGGTGCGTATTTATCAGGAAATTCAGTGTAATTTCGGATGACCTAATTTCGGATGACTGTTTGCTAGTTTAAAAGTTTTATTCCATTTTATCTTTGCTGTTGATTAAATATCAATAAACAGTTGTTTAATTAGAAGATCAACACCTATTGAAGAAAATTCGTATTGAGGCAAAAAAACAATAGTCAAATAATTCTTCATTATCGACCTAACAAACTTTTTCACGAAGCACATTGTTTTTCAACTTAATTGAATACAGTTTATTATTTGAAAAAGTTATAGACACTTTCTCTAGAAGCAGATACAATTAGGAGTTCAAACTGCAAAAATGTACATATTTATTGTGAGAGCCCAGAAATGTAGATTATTCATCCAACTGTCCGCCTAAAACTCCTCCTGCTCAGCCACTAATTAAGGTGTTATCGGTTATCTCAAACGTACTCCAATCAATGATCAATAAAAGTTTCCAAAGCCTTCACTTTTATGAGCCGACGATATGTTTTGTTAGCTTTATTGAAAATGGGTGACTGCATTTAAATTGCCCTCAATTTACAAGTCGCGTCTATGAAGTGATAATGCGATTGATTAGCCTCACAAGTGTAGTTCTTATTGATTGTTAATGACTAATTTGATTCATTTTACACCCGAAATAGGAATGTACTAATTTGCGATATCTATTATTTATAGCACTAATAATTAGAATACGAATCGCACAGTTAATCACCAAGATAAGAGGGTATTTGCAATAGCCGCACACATATCAGGTGTAAAATACGACTTTCCGTGCAAATTCATTACGTTTATGAAATGGTATTAGTTTCAAGGATATCTAGGGAAATTGATCCTGCTATTTGCTATTAAGTATTTTCCTCTTAAGCACTCCTGTTTGTTTAAGCGTTAAAGAGATAGAACATATTTTGTTTGTAATTCGGTGCTTGTGACCTGATTAAAAAATGTTAACGTAATTTTCCTACTGAACAAAGTAATAAATATCCGCCATATCTGCCAGCAGGAGAGCGCAATTCCGCCCGTCTTATCTGAAACATGGCTCAAATCTATTTGTTTTAGATAAGTTGATTAGTTTGAAATAAAAAAATAAACAGTGTCTAAATACCCGATTTTCTATGCCTTCATCATTAAGGTAAAACAAGCAAAGGAGCAACAATTTACGTACCCCATGATGATTAAATTTGTCACCATCAATTATTTTTAATGTGGGGCAATATATTATATATCACACAAAAAAACACAAAATATTACTTGTACAAATAGAACTACCAACATAAATATATTTTTATATCTATTATGATTCATTGCACTTTAAAGCGAACATATAATTTGTTCCGGTTTAATAATGAAATCTTCCTCCTAGAATAGAGACATATTTTATACTTTGATATGCAGCTTCTGCGTTCATTAATATAAGTTTTTCTTGATTTCAGACTTTACAACATGGATTTCCCCACAAACCATCAGCTTTGGGTTGGGATCCATCCCTTCGACTTATTTGCATCGGGACTGCAGTGGGGGCTATCAAAGTATTTGGACGTCCAGGTGTTGAGTTCTACGGTCAGCACCAAAATCCCATTCCAGTCACCAAAGTGCTGTTTATAGCGGGAACAGGCAAAGTAGTTAGCTTGCAAGATGATAATTCTTTACATCTATGGGAGGTAAGTCGATTTAAACTATCTGCGATTTATTTTGGTTTCCAACTATAAATAATGTTTTGGATTTTAGGTGAACAAAAGTTCATTGGTGGAAGTAAAATCGCAAGCTTTGGAGGGTAAGCTAAAAAAGATCAGCACCATGTGCTTGGAGAGCGCTGGAAAATACTTGCTGCTGGGAACTGAAGGCGGCAACATTTATCTGCTGGATCTTAACACTTTCACTATGACTCCGGACATCATTTACCAAGATGTGGTGATGCAAAAGTAGGCAAATGTTCAGCTGCATTAGGCACAAATTCAATAACATAAAAATCAATAGTTAAAATGCTTTTACTACTGGTGCATTTGATATTTCAGTGTTCCTCAAGACTACAAATTGAATCCTGGTGCAGTGGAGTCGATTCTTGAACAGCCAGATCATCCTAATAACATTTTGATCGGATACAATCGTGGCTTGATGGTTCTGTGGAATCGTGTGGATAATGTGGCTTCCAAAACGTTTATTTCCAGTCAACAGTTGGAGTGTTTATGCTGGAAAGATGAACATCACTTTATTAGTGCTCATAACGATGGTGAGTTAATACCTATATTAAAATTACTGTGCCAAGTTGTATATTCTTACTGCTATAGTTATAATAGCAGGAGGTATTGGAGACCTGGAGAGAAAAAAAATAGGCTGTAATGCAACTGAAAAATCCAGTAAGTGCCCTGAGGAAGCTTTAATAAATAGACGAAACGTCGAGTGGTGTAGAGAAACGACTTTTGTTATTTAATGGTCCCAATTCCAAAAACTACACCCAACTAAACTAACCCGTTGAATCAAAAATTATTTAGATTAGGAATATTTTTGTTTCCATTTTTTTGTTTGTGTTTCCGTTGCCATAAAGCCTGTAATCCTGACATTATTCACAGAATCGTAACTAAAACTGACTAAAAATTTGTGAAACTTAGAGAACGCCACTTGCAACTTTCTTCAACATATCTTCAAAAACTAAAAGTCGACAAAAGTAATCGTTATTTCCATATTGTTTTTTGACTGCTAAGGAAAGCAACACGACTAATCAATTTTAGTTGAATGGAAATCCCTCATGGTCTAAGTGAAGATTGACAAGAATACGTAACATAACCAGTTTTGATATGGGTAGCTGTAATTATAATATAAACATGGAAACAAATCGTCAACTTTGCGCTTCTGAATGGCAAAAACTGATCAGAATGTATTTTGATTCATATAACATTTCTGTGCTGTCTTGTTAATACTTGACGAATTCCATAATTATCTAGACTGCATTTACTGCCTGAAAAACTCGACGAATTTATAAAATACTATCGCCGAAATAAGAAACTTAATCATAAAATAATAATTAAGTGAGACAAAGCAGAACATCTAACTTTGTGCTAGATAGAGCAGAATCGCGGTGGATAAAATGCGAGACGTGCAGTTTTTTTTATCACCGATAAAATGCCTCGGCTTAAAATATTCCCATCTTATAAATGTTTTCGGTCTGAAGACATATCATGCTATAAAAATTACATGTGGAAATATTGGTAGATCTTCAATTTCAGAAAAATGCCTTTGCCCAATCAGCTTGTTCAACAAAGTAACCAAAATATCAAATTAATATAAACAAAAATGTTTTCGGACTTGGTTAGAATAAAATTGCGCTTTACACGCACGTATTTTCGCTTATCTTTTAGTATTGCGTTCTGATATTGATTTATTCATCCTGTGTTGTTCATCTCTTTTTACGTTCATTTGAGTATACATAGTTCAGCGAGTATTAAATATTTTTTTATTGCGCTTCATGCAGTGAGTCACTTAGGCTTGAATCGGCAATTGGCCCAAAGAATGAAATGGCAGAAATGTAACTCTTTATATACTCTGTTTGAGTTTTATAGTCAATTAATTGATTATTTTTATCATTTACCTCTTATATAACTCTACCATTATTTGATAAAGTTTAAACTTAATCACCCTGTAGATCAAAATTGAGAGCAAATTCTATTATATTTAGTTTATATGATAAAAGTAAATATTTGTTTTTATTATGCTACATACAGTGTGAGTCACTTAAGGTAGAAACCGGCATTTTAGCGCAAATCAAATGGTACAAATGGAACTTTTTATTATATATTATTTTTTATACAAATAAACTCTGTAGTTTTACCTTCAATTAATATGTGATTTTTAGCTTCATGTTAAAAGTTCAAATAGGTAGAGAATCGTGTAACTTTTAACACAAACATTGTCGGAAAAGCCCCGTATGTGCGCAATAAATGCGATTCTCTGTTTTCGGAACAAAGGGTATAAACAAAATAAGGAGACACTATTCTAACTTCTTTTGTGCCAACCACCAGTGGTGCCCTCTCTCTGACTTTGCACGGACTTTTCAAACCACCCTCGTAACGTGTCTTGCGGAGTGCCATTTTCAATTAGAAAAAAAAAATTTGACAGATTAAAAATAGAAATTAAACCTTAATTAATTTTGACACAGCAGCAAACAATGGAATATCTATAATATGATAATAATGTTAATACATATGTATAAATAAATAAATAAAACGTATTACATCAATTTAAAAGTTCTTATTTAATTAGAAAGACATAAAAACGGTACCTCAGTCAGTTTAAAAAGTACGAAACTTAGTTTTTATAAATGCAATCCAATATGATCATAAATAAAAGTTCATCGACACTTCCAGGGAAATTTTCCAAATAAGGCATTTAACTGTAAATGGCCGAAAGTATGGCTAAATTTAACAAAAATATAACAATTGAAACAAACTGAAAGGGATTCTTTGGCGATTGATGCCGCGAAAAAAATCCCCTTCAGTTCAGAATTTTCGGACACGAAAAACTCTTCAATTCAAACAAAAATATACCCAACAATAATATTAAGAAAAGTAATAAAAACTATTTTTAGTCGATAGAGCTGGTGTTGTTATCTTATACTGACTCATAAAATACCTTGACTATATAATTGCCATTACACTAAATTTTATTATTATTCGGCAGCAAAAAGATTTAGTTATAACTGAAGATTTTTTACTCTTTTCCAACTAGGTAGCTATATGGAATGGAACGTAACAATGTCGGATAAGCCCTGTGGAGAACCTGTTAGTACTTACGGCCCCTACGCGTGTAAAGCAATTCCTAAACTTTTGGCAAGAGAATTAAATGGAGAGGAATTGTTGGTGTTTTCTGGCGGATTGCCCAGAGGAAATTGCGGCGAGAAGTATTCCGTTTCTGTCATTCATGGGGAAAATAATGAGAATCATGTTGCATTCGATTTCACCAGCAAGGTAAGCGAGGTTTTAATCCAATTTCTGGTCAAGCATCTACATATAATTTGCACTAGCACATGATTTAAGAAATATTGTCTATTAACTAACAAATTTGTTCAATTTTACCGATTTACGTGTTTTGATTCAATAGTGAAACCCCAAAACGCCTCGTTTTGTTTTATGTGTTTTTTACATCATGTATATATTTGATTGGAAATAAACCGTTTATAAATCAAGAAGTCTGATAAAACAGACTATTTGGGCTTTCAAAAATCCACACATCGCATTTTTGCAAATCGGTCAAAATTTATTGCATTTGTAGTTTAATCCAGTACATAGAGATTGTTTGATAGCTCTTCTCTTTGTGGCAGATCGCGTGTGAAAAAAGCGATAATGAAAGCGAAGATGAGCAATACGGCAATAAGGTATAAATCATAGACTACGGTTTTCTTTTCACAGAACTGTGTTTTGATTTTATTTTTCTGCATGGATGTTTCCATAATGTTATCGAAATTTTTGCTTTTTTTAATAGATATTTTGCATATTTAGATATAGTAGCATGGATGTAAGTTGTTTTCGTGAAAGTGTTGGCGTTCTAACAATAAAACTATTTTAATCAAATTTCCGATTTCATAAATTTAACCTCTTTAAAATGATGTGTGTGGACATGTATTTACGCACACATTTTTTGTTACTTACATACACATTTTCAACTACGGATTTATTTTCTTGTAATTGTAATTCCGAAACAATTCTTCAGGGCTGCAAACTTTATTGATAAATTTCTTTACATTCCAATTTTATTATAGGTAATCGATTTCATCCTTATCGATTCTCGAACAGAGGACGATCCAGACAATGATTCTACTGAAGGCCAAGAAGGAGCTCTTACTAATGGCACGTCCACCACCAAAGGACAACCGGAAGCTCTTATCGTGTTAGCCGAAGAGGAATTGGTCGCCATAGACCTATTGAGTAAAGGCTGGAAAATGATGAGTTTGCCCTATTTGGTAGCTCTGCACTCTTCAGCTGTGACTTGTAGCCAATATGTGTCTGGTAAGTATTTAAAAGCAGCTTTTCACGGCTGAAAAGCTTGAATTAGCAGACTAATAAATAAATTTAAGATGAATAGATTCAAGAACCCCGGTCACATGTTTATTTTATCTAACTATCACACGTTTATTATCTATAATTAGTACGAGTATCTATAATCATTTCTTGCAATTTTCCAGACATTCCAGACTCTTTATGGGAATATTTGAAAGACGCTGGAAGAGCACAAACCAGCCATCTCTACTCAGATAGACCCTGGCCTATAGACGGTGGAAAGCTCTTGTGTGCAAAAGGTAAAGATCGTACTTCTGATCAATAAGTTTGCGGCAATATTTCGTAACACATTCTACGGTTACTTTTTTGGCCAAATATATTTTTTTAGTTAATTAACGTGTTTATTTTCTAAGTAATGACTTTTTGCTTCTACTAAATGCATAAAATGGTTAACTGGAATAATATTAAAATTATTCCTCGATTCTCTAAAGAATGTGTAAATTTTGTATTAAATTATTAATTTACAAGTGTGGTCGACGTTTATTAATTTTATCTTTACATTAGGCACAACGCCGAAAAGAGAACTGTTGCTAACTGGCCACGAAGATGGTACAGTTCGATTTTGGGATGCTGGCGGAGTCACGTTGACTCCAATGTACAAATTTGGAACTGCTCAATTTTTCACCGGCGATGATTTAGATGGTAAGTTTTTGCAATGCAATTATGTAACGAATTTCAATCCAATATTTGCTCAACAATCAATATAAAAATGTTTTAAATGAACGGTAGATGTTCCGCCACCTAGCCAAGACCCAGATGAGGAAACCGAAGATGAATGGCCGCCTTTTAGGAAAACCGGCATTTTCGATCCCTACTCGGATGATCCGCGACTGGCAGTAAAACGGGTAAGATTTTACTTGTTTGCGTAACTCTTTATTTAAGCTAATAGAATTTCCAAGTTAAACCACTCATATTTGGAATAAAAGATTTTTTTTACGTTCACAAAAGACTTGCGCCTATTTATTGCGAAATTCCCCATTTACGTGCAAAAATGACGTGATATGAGTGATATGATTATAAGTGCTCAACAAAATAAACGTTTCACGGCCACATTTGCCTTAACTTTGGAATTGGATAAATTCTGATTGCTTAGATGGATTTGGTTTCGGTTTGAAGCGTTATGGAACCCCATTTGTTTTGTGTTAGTACATGTTTTGGCCAAAATTACTAATAACATAAATTTTCTACAGGGCGGCAAATTAAAACAATTTGGAAAGTTTAGTGGGCTAGTTTTCCTACTTGGACAAAAAAGGTTGTTTTTGGATCTCAACACTAAAAGTTTAAAGGAAAACCAAATAGCTCGGAACGGTGTTTAAATTTTTTTTACTGTCTCTTCTATTTGGTTTATTTCGTTTTTTACAATCTATTCACAAGGTGGTTTCAAAAAATCAACTTTTTGGCTCTAGAAGCCAGATTTAAGGCGTAAATTCGATTTACAGTTCAAATACGTTCAAGAGAAGAAAATGATCACTGTAAGACCAAAAAGTTAATTTTTTAAGACCACTCTGTAAATGAACGAGGTGAATGGAAAATTCGAAAACCTTTTTCTAGATATGAGGTTTATCTTAATGCTTCTGGTGTTGAAATGCAAAAAAAACACATTTTTTTGTCCTACTGAGAACAAGCGAAAATGTCTCCAATTTTACATTGTTTCATTTGCCACCCTGTAGAAACTTTATCTGTCGCACTAATCTTTTGCAACAACCACGCACTAATCGAAAAATAATAGCACTAAATAACGCTTAGAACAGAAATCAATTCGCTCTAAGCAGTCGCGATTTATCCATTTCCAAATTTGTGAGTGTAACGTTGATTTTGTTAAGCAGTTTATTATGATTCCAAATACTTTAGGTCAAGTGCTGCTCAAGCATCACAAGTGATACTTTATTAACCTTTTTAGGTCGTAATGTGTCCTCTTTCCGGAACATTGGCAGTTGCTGGAACGGCGGGCCAAGTTATAATAGCTAAATTCGATACGGAAATTCTTGATGGGCCACTCAAGGTTGTTACAATGAACATTGTCAGTGATAGAGACGGATTTGTATGGAAAGGACACAGTCAATTGGCTCCAAAAACCGGTACTAATTTTATTTGTTTGTAATTAACAAGATCCATCACGTATACTTGCAATGTAGGAGATATTCATCAAGTGAGGGGATTCCAAGCGTCTACATTACTTCAGTTGCATCCACCCGCTGCTGTGACTTGTGTAGTTCTGCACGCTGATTGGGGATTAGTGGCTGCAGGAACTGCTCACGGGTTGGCTTTATTGGACTACCTCAAAGCCAAACCAGTAATAGTAAAGTGCACCCTGAACCCGAATGGTACGACTTACGCTGCTATACTTTTCAAATCCTGGCAACTAATTAAAACAATTCTACGTTTAGATCTCACTGGTCAAGGTGACGCACCAATTACCCGGCGAAAATCGTTTAAGAAATCCCTTAGGGAGTCGTTTAGAAGACTGAGGAAAGGACGCTCAACTAGGCACAACAAAGAAGATAAACAAGTAATAAAAAATATAAGCAAACTCTAACTAGATGTTATAAAATTGTGTTTTCCAGCCCGCACCCGTACCTAACTCTCCTCCAGTAAGAAAACCTCCGCAATCCAACGAACAAGGTGAGTTCAGTCCTTTGGACGCCAAACCCGTAGAGAGACAAATCGAAGCTAGACCTGCCGAGGATTCCATGGGCTCATTTGTTCGATGCTTGTATTTTGCCAGAACATTCCTTATTAATGGTAAGTCAATTTACATCCTTTAGAAACGCTTTCGGGGATAAAAATATTTCCTTTTTTTTAGTGCAAAACACAATTCCGACTCTTTGGGCCGGCACGAATAATGGCACAGTTTATGCTTTTACCATCACAGTACCTTCAGCATCTAAACGAGAATCAGACGATGTTATGTGTCATTTAGCCAAAGAGATCCAATTAAAGCACAGGTAAAAATAAACGTTTTAAGAGTTAAGCGTTCAGGATGATCCAGATTTAAATGCCATATGGGGATTTTCTATGATCAATTAATATTAAGCAATTTCTAGAGGTTCAGCTCAATGAATGTGAATCAATTGAATATAATTATCGGGCAGACAAGTTAGGTTGCTTATCTATAAATGAGACGCATAGTATGACTGACTTATTTGTCTTGTTTTTTGTCAAGTAATCGCATTTATATGCATTTGTTTATTTATTTACCTACTTAAAAACGATTCTTTAAAATGCGCAACAGATATAAGTATTTATCGCCAGCTAAATAATTTTTTGACTCATTTTTAGTTTCAAGCGTTTTTAGTGTCGATATAGATAGAATATGATCATTTGTACACATAATCACAGGGTAATTATTTAAAGAAATTATTCAGCTCTAGATCGATCATTGGGTGCCACTTGAAAACGAAAATAAATATCCGTCGATATGTTATTTCTACTTAAACTTACATAAAAAAAGTTTTATTCATAGTACATTTTTTCATTTATTCAAGTCGAAGGAAAGTATGCTGACCAGTCATTTGATCTACTGAATAATTTTGTCTGCAGGGCGCCTGTTATAGGCATCGCAGTACTGGATGGTTGCAACAAACCATTGCCAGAACCCCTCGAAGTAGAAAAAGGAGTTTCCCCACTTCCCGATACAACACAAGCACACAGAGTAATAATTGCTTCAGAAGAACAGTTCAAAATCTTCACTCTGCCTTCTCTGAAACCTTACTGTAAATATAAGCTGACCGCCCATGAAGGTATCTATTTTTGCTCTGGTTCTGTGCGGGATAATTATGGATAATTAAATTCTCAGGAGCCAGAGTCCGAAGGATGGCGTTCGCGACTTTCTCGTGCACTTTACCAGAAGACAATTCAAAACATTCCGAAGTAGATCTTTTGTGCCTTACAAATATGGGCGATTGTGTCGTGCTTAGCATTCCCGATCTGAAACGACAGCTCAATGCGGCAGCAATTAAAAGGGAAGACATTAAGTAAGCAATAAATATTTTTAATTGTGTTAAATAAATATACTACACACTTAATTTAAGTATATTTCTTAAATTTCTAAAAGTAAGCTACTTAAGTGTTTATGTGTTGCCAACAGTTAATAGTTAATACAATTTTCAGTGGAATTTCATCTCTAGTCTTCACAAAAACAGCCGAAGCTCTGTATCCGCATTCGTCTTCCGAGTTGCAAAGGATAAGTTTATCTGCCACTGCAATAACACAAGCCAGGTAATAGAAAATCGAATTTAAATAAATCGCTCAACCCGTAGTAGTTTCAAACATTTAAAAAATATATCAATAATTATAGAACTGTTAAATAAATTAATTAGACGTGGTGCAATTGTTTGAAATTTAAACCACAAAGAGATCACTGAGACAAGCATGAAAAAACTGAGAACACGAAAGAAAAAAACAGTTAGGAGAGTTTTGAACTAATATGTTTCTATTTTTTGTTAGGTGTTATTTGCCAATACCCAACGACAGTGAAAATCCTGAAGCAGAGGGCGACAACAATACCAGCACAGAAGAAGCAATTGAAGCCCCTTTAGTGAATGGAGCCGTCGATTCTAATACACTGGAGAAGGTACTTAACACCCAATGACTCAAGCTTGTTAGTGAGCTGAAAAATTTTGGCAATTTGAAAAGTTATTTTAAAACCGTTTTCATTACTGTAAATTTGTACAAAATAAATGTAATCATTTACTTTTAACTATTCAAAAAAAGTGGAATGTTCCGCCATGATTAGTCCTTATCCTATTTAACTATGATATTTTATGAATAAAATGTGCTGTCCTGATGGTTTAGAACTAAAAATATTTAACTGAACTAAATAAAAATTGCGTGGTTAATAGGGGAAATAACAGTGTGTCGTGCACTGTATATAACCTGATTAATTTATCAAACATCCAAATGAAAGTGTATAAAACTTTATAATATTGGTCCAGATATTTTAAACTCGCAGTGAAAAAAATGCAAGGGTGCCGATGACGACATTGTATGAAAGGATTCTATTAGGATTGCAAAGAAAGGCAGACATTGAGGAGGAGTCTATAATTATTATTTTCATGTAGGTGGATGAAGTTCCAGAAAATGGGAACGAAACGCCGCACAATGTAACTGTATCCAGCAGCGTGGGCGATATCACAATAGACAGCGTAAAAGATCATCTTGGCTCAGGTACGATCATGAAACATTGAGTGTTAATTATTTATTGTAGCTGGGGCAAATGAATATGTTGTATGTTAAGCTTCTTTTCGGAATCATGAATACTTTCAGGCGATGAACTAAACCGGAGAATATCAAACTTGCAAGTGACTAAAACAGTAACGACCATTATTAGTAGTAGTAGTAGTACCCAAGGTGAGGAAGTGTCCAGCAATACAATTGCATCTACCGCTACTACAACAGATCAAGAAAGTAATGGTAAGTACCTATGGGCTTTTTGATAGTTTGCTGAGAAAGGGTTTGAAAATTTGTTTTTTTATTGCAATACTCATGTACAATTAAATTTTTAAAATTGGTCTGTTTTTCATATTTGCTAATTTTTTTGAATAATTTTTACTCTTTTGTATTGCTTTGTACAGTTCAAGCTAAATATTTGTTTTACCTTGTTTCGTTCTCTATGTAGATTAATTTTGTGTTTTACTTGTGCTATTTGCTGTTTATTTTTCTTCATGGCTTTATGTGTTGTTTTTATTCTTGCTTGTTTGTAGTCATAGAAAAGCACAGCCAAGGAAACGGACCGCGTTTGGAGGTTAGATATATTATCTTTTTTTAGCTTGTATACTAGTGATAATCAATTGCACTTAGATAAAATGCACTAATTTTCTTCTAAAGAGTATTTACACCGATCAATCTATTCGTTTTCTATCTAGAAATTAGTTTTTATTTGCAAGTGTAAGAAAAAATTGTTTTCAAACTATTAACTTTAATTATAAATACTATGAATAAAAACTATAAATAATTCAATAAATTTCTGGCCCATATTTGAGTAGTAAGTCGAGATCACGAATAAATTGATTGACTCTTAAAGTCGGATTCTTACTAATTTAAGCTCTTGACATGTTGCTTGTAAAATACCCAATATTTACTGATTTGAATCTTAAGTTAACTTTACATTGATTACAATGTACGAGGTTGGTCAAAAACATTTTTGGGCCGTTTATGGTGAGTATTATTTAATTTAAAAGATTAACTAAATGTATACAGTAAGGATACAAATTCAGAGGTTTGTTTTCTGGAAATTCCTCCAAATACTTATATTTTTATTTTTGTGTGTCTTTTGAATTGTTGTGCGACTTTGAGCCAGGTTTCTTATACATATTTTCAACAGTTAACGATAATTTTACTATTGAATATAGGAATTACTGAACCGTTATTAATGTGATTTTATTATCAAAAATAACAACAAAATCATTAACTTTTTACGATGTTCACTAATAACATCTAGACAATAAACGAGTCGATCTCTTGTTTCGCTTGCCACTTCAGTGCACGTTTTTAGATGGTTTTATTTCAATTTTGTCTCGAAATCTATTTTTTAAATCGTCACGTCTAATTTTCTGTTTGTTGAAGCGGAAGACTTACAAATTCTGTTAATATAAATTGTCTCATGATTTTAGGGTCGATAGTAACTAATAGGGTATATTTAAAAAATCGTTCAAAGATCTATTTCTTACTGTATACACACTATTTGATTTTGTTGCTGAAATTGAAATAATACACTTGTATACAAATTTTATTTTTATTTAAATATTTACTGATTTATTTAAATACAATTTATAATCGATTAAAATGTTGTTGTTCATGTTGTCATCAACCCATTACTATAACTTTTTTAGTGACGGAATTTAATTATAAGTTATAAGAAAGAAAGTACACATAATTCAAATAAATAATTTCAGCTGAAAATGCATGTATATCTGCAACTATCTGCTAGTTAAACCAAATAATACACTTTTTAACACAAAATTTTAAACTATTGTTATTCTTGAAATTCACTTTTTAGTATTTGGAACGCTTTAGTACCTTTACATACTAACCAGCTGATGGTAATTAGTTTTCCAAACACTGCACTTCTAAGCTCATTAACCAGCATACTTACACTTATTAAATCAAAATGCACAACATTTAATGTTCATTTCTTTTCAGACTAAACAAATTCAGGTTAGTGACTTACTACTACGAGCTCCCTTGGCTTTAGCAGAAGATGATGCTGAAAGCAATCAAGTCGGTGATTAGAATAAATTTGAATTTGGAACTGCAACGAGGCAACAGTAACATAAATACTAATACATTACACTCAAACAATTTAAAAATACCAGACAATCAAAAAATATCGTGTTTTCAAGCTAGATTTCTGATTTATAAATGGTGAATCGAAGTGTTTATGTTACTAGAGCTATGAAATTTACTTAATTTAATTGAGATGCTATTGTGCTTATTATTTTTTCCAAGTTTTTATCCAACTCGACTAGGACTATTAGGGAAATTCATAGTGAAATGAATATTAATTCAAACTGATCTTGTATCATAACATTTTCGTGTTTGCGAATATAGAATATAATACTGAAAGATAATTGATAAACTTAACAACCGTAATAAAGTGTGCACTTGCACACCCCTTGAGGCTCAATTAAATAGATACACATTTTAGTACAAATTCAAATACATTATTTTTTGGTTTTTGTATTATGTCCTACAATCGCATCAATAAAATACAATTTAGTTTGCCATATCAACCATATTCAGAGTTTCGTATTGAAAACTCTTTTGTGGCTAGCATTTTCTTTATTTTGAATGTTTTTTTACTTGTCAATTATTTATAGTATTATTCATGTACTTAGATTTATTTAGTGTTTATTAATGAAATATTTTAGGAATGGCGATGTGAAATGCTGGACATCCAGAAGTAGCAACAGAATTATTTTCAGCAATATAAATTGCATAGCATTTACAGTCATTAAAATGTCTGATTATGGTGTGAACACTTACTATGTACATGTTTAGAATTTGACTTGTTCGTGGTGTTATCACTCAGAACTTCCCACGGCGTCCTACAGCGAATTATTTAATTATAGTAAGTTTATATTTATTTCAAGGTATGCATTTCCAATTCATCGACAGCTTAAAGTCTACAGCATATTTAATTAAACTACTTGTTTTTAATCAGACTATTTTACTTTATTAGAAGAATTATTTAAATGTACATTATTCCAGCTTTGCAATTTTTATATAGTTTTAGGGTTAAGTTTTAAATTACCTCTATGATTATCTAAGCTTTTTTTTACGTAGAACTTCAAAAAAGGCTAGAAAACATATGAAAAATAATTTGCTTTCTTCGTTCGGATTTGTTATTGAAATATTTTTATCTAAGTTTTGAGAAAGTGTCATCTTTAGTTGGACTAGTCCAGCTATTAATCTCGTATTCTAGGCCTTTAGATGTTAATCGATTTTTAAACATTCAGCGACTTTTTATAAAACAAACGGTGGGGGTTACAGTTGTCAGTATGAGCGAATGTATGATATTTGCGTGTTTCGAATGTACTTAGATTTATACAGAATCTTTTTATGGCCTTAACTTTTGTTAATATTTTTTATATTCATAATCAGCTTTTGTATTAGAATCTTTAATATATTTATCAAAAGTAACTGCGGAAAACAGAAACATCACTGAATTTAATATATGTTTAATTGCTATTTTATCAGTTTTTGAAGAAGCCTACCTACCTTTTTCTTAATAATAAGCAGACTATACAAACTAAGTGATAATAATATTAAGGAATCTACTTGCATGAGAATAAAATAACGGAAACTATACAGGCACAGTATTTTTATTTTATGAACATTATAAACAATAAGTATATACAAACGTATAAAAGTTACTAAATAAACTACATTTGTATTTGAAGCAATAGGGCTAATTTATTCACAGTACAAAGTGAACTAAGAGATAAACTCAAAATTGTTATTTACTTTAATTGACTATTATCACTTAATAATTTACCCATATAAAGCTTTATATGTTACAGCGATTTATACAAGTTATAAAATGTGAAAATACCGCGAAGAACGAGCGGATTAAATTTAATTCTGTTTAAGTTGAGTGCTCATATTATTGAAACGATGATTTCGGATTTCTTCTCAATGGTTATACGATAAGTTATCATTTGGTGGTAAATGCTAATAATATTACATAGAAAATGTATTGACTAGAAGAATTGGTAAAATCGTCATTTAGACTGTATTCTACTCATATGTACGTAGGGTACGATGTACCTTTAAAATGCTCTCAATATGTTTTCCTGCATTATTTTAGAAAAACGTTTCAAAAATTGGTTTTGAAGTTAGTTTGAAAATTAGGTGGTGGTGAATATTTTATAAAAAACGAGTAAAGTAAAATGCATGAAATCTTCAGAATAAAAAATAGTGGCTTCACAAACAGAGAATCGAAACGTTTAGGAAGAACATTTCAAAGTTCTTTATTGGATTTAATGGGACTTTTGGACATAAATGCTCATTATTTTCGAGAAGATTAATTTTTAAAACATAGTTTTAGAAGATTATTTTTCTACTGTAATACAGAGCGTTAAGCAACCAAATATTCTTTTTATTTGAGCATTAATTTTTGTTTTTTTGTTGTCAATCTAAAAAATGACTATACCGAGATTTTGATTCTTTCTTTGTCGCGTTTTTATTCTTAGTTGCATTCACTCAGTTTTGAATTATAAAAGACATCAAGCTCATTATGTATTTTAAATTACTTCTCAATGTATAGCGGCTTAAATAGAAATAATGTTTTTTCAGAGCGCAATCAGAAACCATTCAAAATAGCAAGCATTCAAAAGCAATGAAAAAGCAAGCTAAATTTTGTGTTCACATTATTTGCTCTAAATCAACTTTATCTATATTCTCTGTCGATTTGAGATCGGGTAAATAAATGTATTTGCATAACACGCTTTATGCCAAGGAAAAATTATTAGTTATTGAAGATATCTGTTTTTGAATCTTCAAACGACAAGATTTGGATAGATCTAATAATTATAACACATATACTAAAAATGTGTGTACTTACAAAACCCTGTCTAAAATCAATTACATTTTGTAATAAAAACAAGAATTTCGAGTTAGGCAAATTTTATTTGCTTTTGCTTCATTTTCATCGCATTTTGTAATTCCCGTCAATAAAGATAAAATCTTGTTAGGTCGCACTTCATTTCATAATTCGTTTAAGCAGTAAACATTTGAATAGAGTACAGTCTTAATTGGCAATAAATAAAGAAGCAAGTATTGCGCAACATATTTTCTTATTAAAAGCATGTGTGTGTGTACGTCTAACTAAGTTCTTAATACTGTCGAGTTGAAAGAAACCTAACTGTGATTTCCAGATCGTTTTACAAGCATATTTTGATGATTAACTCAAAGTAGCCCACAAAGGAAAACCTGCTTATCGGCTAAATGATAGTAATTCGCTCAGGTTGCATGGTGTACCTACTTAAGTACAACGGTATTTCTATGAATGCCATTGTGATTTAAATTTTAAGAATTGTTTATCAACTAAATGACGAGTTGGCAAAGCCAATTTGATACAACATTTTTTTTACATTACAATTATTATTAAACATTCATAGAAATTTTACACATAATTGTGGCAAACTGTTTTTGACCTGTACATACATAATTCGCTCTAGGCTCTGTTATTATTCGATAGAAATTGAGGTGATTTTATTGTTATTTAACCACTGCTTTAGTACTTAAATCTGCCGAAAAAATCTGCTCTTCATTTGGAATTATTGTATAGAAGTTTTTTTTTTTTAATTAAATATGTTTAAAAAAAATGCGCTTGTGAAATAATCGAATTTCTGTCTTTGTTTAACTCAATTTTGGAAGGAATTCTAGTCATATTTTCAGTCAATTAATTTTTATTGTTCAATAATTTAAAATAAAACAAATTACGGCATTCTCGTGTATGACGTAATAGTGGATGTCTTTTTGTCCACCATCATCACATTCCTGTGATGACATATTTAACATCTACTTGACACAACCGTAGTGCTTATCCGGTAACTTTTACAATTTAATATCAATTTTAAAAAGTAATATACATTTGGAAGCATCAAAAAGTAAGTTAATTATTTAAAAGTTAATTTAAGTCACATTAACTCCATCAAGATTGCTCTATTCGCATTTGGTTAACATATTTCGCATATCTCAAGTGTAACAGGGCAGTTTCTCATTTCGGTTTTAATTCGAATCAAGCAATATATAGAACTTTCAAGAAGTAAAACATGTTTTCTCTACATATTAATCATAGTGATTAGCACTTAATTAGAAATTGATAATTAAACAGACTCGAGTCAGAAATCTGCTACTACTATCGAAAGAGTTTTAAGATTTATTCAGGCTTTCACGTGTATTTTATTAATTTCTTCCTGAAAATGTTTTTGAAATAAGCAAATTAAGCTTGTGGCTGATTTTTCAACGTTTAAATCATTCAAGCTTTTGCTTTAAACATTATTTGACAACAACCGTCAATCCATGTTTCTATCTCTGTTATTTACGCACGTCTTTACAGACTGACGAAGTCAAAGTGCTGGTTTTTTCAATTTCAAGTATAAAAAATTTAATGTCACGATTATTATCTCTTGATTTAAAATATTTTTTAATAATTTTTCAATAAATGTGGTCGCAACTCATCGACATTAGATAAGAATAGCGGTTATTTGATTTTGTTTTGATTTGATCCTTTTTTTTATTGTCAGCTTTTATTAAAACAACATACAATGCGTTGTATTTTAACAGTGCTTTTAGTAAGTGCGCAAATCCGGAACACTTGCAAGCAGAAAGCTACAAAGAGTGACACACGTACAAATTAATGCGAAAAATTATCTTTGTGCCTTCTTATGGAAAGGATCATTTTGTGTTGGTCGCAGGCCCACGAAACTGTTTTGAACGATCTTCAAGAATTTGCAGCAATACGTAAGTAATATTCATTATCCCGGATAAACAGTTGCGGTTTTGAGATCTACATATCGTGGGTTTAAAGCTAAAAGTGACCAAATCCAAAATTGCCGTACTTGTGTTTGTCGAAAGTAATTAAAAAAAAATTATATATTTGTCATAAAAACCGACGAGTCCCCCAAGGCCACAAAAACAGGTGCACTAAAATTTGTTTTTAATGGCCAAAAGAATTTTTATATAATTTTTGGCTCGGTTTAAAAGTGCATTTACCGAAAATTGATATTTTAGACTTGGCTAGTTTTAGATTTAAGCTCACGATTATTCACGATATATCACAAGCAGGTGTATTATTTGAAGTATGTGTAGATGGTAGATGTATTTGACTTGAAAATTACTGAAGGAAGGATTTTAATCAGATGGATCGATGTCTTATGTTCTTGTTACTTCTCATAATTTAGATTCATCAGAATTTATTTCATCATCGTCGTCAAATTGAAAGCCTTTTTTCTCATTTTCTCTTGACGGTTTTACTGGCTTAATTTGTATTTTCATATTGTGCTCCTTTTGTTCAATATTTAAAATTTGTATCTTTAGTTTGCGAGTTAGAAACGAAGCATTTCTGAACTCATAATTACGGCATTTTTATATTGGAAATTCCAAAAATCAGTTGGAAGCAATCAATATACATAAAGCAAACCAAAATAAAATGGAAGAATTTTAAACTTTCTGACCGAAAAACTGAACACGAGAATAAATTGCGTTCCTACATAATTTATCATCATTTTGCGAGACTAAATCAAACATTGCCGGTCAACTAGCTTGCATATCCGCTTTGCGGAGCCAAACTTAATTTAAACCACCCACTTCGAACAGTGTCTAATCTAAAATAATTGTTGAATATCTCATTCGCGTTAGGGCGGCCAATAAAACTATTAACATATTCAAATAGAGTAGGTATAAAAATAAATTAACAAGTTTACGGCCTATCCAAAATTCCATATCATACATTGACATCTCAGAAATCTTAAGAGATAGAAAGTCGGTTAATTTAGTCAAACTTGTAGCAGTTTCTTCGATGGTTATATAGTACAGGGATCTAGAAAGTTAACAGATCTATAAAACGTAGTTGAAGCACAGACAAGTGGAAAATAGTGGGTTCTTTGCCTAATTCTAGTGAAATGCTCCACTGTATGTATATGTACTAAACTCATGGAAAAATGGTTTAAGTTGTAAATGAGCGGCTTCTACAGCGCGTCATCCGAGATAGTTCGTTTATCAATCATCTGACCAACTTTAAGATAAAAGAGTGGTCACTAATTTTCTAAATAAAAATTGCTTACATCGGTGGTTATCGAAGTCTCATTACTTAGCCACTGGGATCTGTAGGCCTCAATCTGTGGACCTTTCAATAATTTTACCCTCATTGCGCGTCGGTTAACATAAAATGTTCTAAGCTACGAATTGGTAAAGTCAACCCTCGGATATTTCTTTAAAATTTTTTTTATCTTTTCTATTTTTTTAAATGTTAAGAATTGAGGAAAAGTGAAAAAAATAGTTTTTGCCGTCCAACACTGTGTTTGCTAAGAATTTGTCCCTATACTGTCGTTCTTCTCCAAATCTGCAAAAGTTTAATTTTTGCCAACACGTAAAAAAATGTGTAATCAAAAAATCGATACGCTCCCTGCTTTCGTTCCAACAGAACAATACAGTTGCGGATTGCCTTCTTTAGCAAATAATTCAAAAATAGTACAATGCAGGAGGAAAAAGTTTGCTCTTTATTGTACATCTTTTCATTAGGTATTTGTCGGATTTTTTCTAATACTTTCTAGTTCTTAATTTACACTTTAATAAGCAATTTATTAAATGTTTACTGTTCATGTAAAAGTATGCTTTCGGATCTAAGGATGTATCACGCTTATGGCGTCATTCGCTATAATAAAAACCATTTGGTTGAAATTAATTCAAAGTCAAGCAAAAGTAGTTGTTAGGCAGGAGAAACGATCAATTAAAACTTTGACTGATTTTAGACTTGACAAATTTAACGATTTTTGTACGAGGAGAGAGTGACGAATGAAATTATACAAACATTGTTATAAATGGTTCTACTAATTTTTTCTTAGATAAGTAGTATGATTATCAGTATTTACAAAATGATTACGCATTTAGTTTTAAAAATCCCATATTATACAGCTTTTTTTAAGTAATTCATACTCTACCTTAGCTAATAGCCTCAAGTCTCTCTAAACTACTATAATCACTAATTCATGCATTTTCACTCTATCTTGCTGTATTCCACAACTCACTGGAAGTACTAGTTTAACTTTCCGCTAGTTTTAATTCAGTTTTCCAAAAATAACTTGAAATGAAGAACCGCTGCTTATCGACGATTTTAAACGTGAAAATTTAATATAGTGTTTATATTATTTCAACATGGAATGACCCGAACGTCGTCAAAGGCTTTTTTCGAAAGAATTTTTGAAATTCGTTGAGTTGATTGAGTTCGATTGAGTTTTAAAATGTTATACGTATTTTTTATAAGCAACCGCAGTACACTTTAATGCATTTTATAACATCGTTTTTGTATTAGAATTTTTCTAATTCAACAAGCTTTTCAATTGTGAACTATTAACAAACTGAAGGTACAAAAAAGTCTTTGTAGCATTTAAACGCAATATTAAAGCATTTTCTTCATTAATTGACGATTTCTGAAACTTTTTGAAATACAATAGTTAATGAACGGAAAATTTGCGGTAAAAATCAAACTATTAATATTAAAAAAAAAAACTACAAAATATGACTAGAAATTTCGCATTTGAAAGTCTTAGCGTGATATAAGCACACCATAAAGTTTTAAACAAACGCAAAAATCGATGTTTGATGCTTCAAAATCAGTAAAATGGATGAATCTTTTTTTAAATACTTTTATTGCCAACTTGCAAGCTTAGAGCCACTAAGGCATCAAAAATAGTCGGCATAACCTGACTGAAAAAATTTGGAGTTTTCACATTGTTCTCATTATATTGCCCCGAAGCCCAACGAAGGGAAATCACAGTCCATTAACATACAAACTTAGAATTACCCTAAAAATAAACTTGTACTTTTTCACAACTCCGTCGTAATCACGTCTTGAGGTCTAAATCCTAACTGGTAAAAGTCATCTTCCAAGAATAGAGGAGATCCACTCATAAATTCCTTGCTGTTCTTCCACGCCACCGGGTCGAATTCAGATGATGTGTTTCCGACCAACGTATATTCAAACTTCCATTCTGGATTCAGTTCATTGTTTGAATATTTCTCATAATTCGTACTGAAGCCCTTAATGGCTGCGTTCTGTAAGCTCAGCGACGAGCCGAATGTTTGCTCAGGCTTGAAGGTACTCATGGTTGTGCTGCCACGAACTGAGTACTCCGGTTCGTCTACATCGCTTGGCAAAATCGGGGATTGTAGGAAATTGATCAGCTGAGCCACTTGAGGCTGAGAAGAATCGCTCATTCGTTTGTATCGTTTCAACGCCTTTTCGGCCCAGTCGAATAAATGCTCCCAGTCGTCTGGTATAACGACACTGTCAGGGGATCTATTGAGAAGTAACAGAATTTTGGCAAGATCTCGAACAACAGGTTTATAAACCCCAATGGCACTGTTATCTCCTTCTTGGTGTAATTGTCTCACCTGTTGCCTTGTTTCATTGAGCATATCAAGGTAACATTGAGAATAGGGCCTTAAAGTTTCCAGTTGTTTCACGAAATCTCTTCTCTCAGGAGTTTCATCAGTTTCGGAACTGGTATCGCTATTTACCACCGCTCGTTTTCTTCTAAATTTCATATAAACAAATGCTACAAAAAATAGTATCAAGCAAAGCAAAATTCCCGCAACAATTCCAGTGAGAATGGTCAGTGCGTTGGAGGATAAACCCAAGAAGTTCCCGTTGTGGCTGCAAACTATGCCCATGAAATCCACCATGGTACTCCAGTTTTTCGTGTATCCGAACGGGCATTCTTCAACACATCTTCTTGAAGGATTCACGATGAGTTTTGGACATTTTTCACATCCGTTTGAGCCGCATTGAAGACAGTCGGGTTCGGTGCAGTCTGTAAAGAGAAGAAATCAGAAATATAATATTTTCCATATTTGGCAGATTATAATTAACACAATGTTGTTGCATCATAAAACCGACATTATGGGAAGTCAGTCCTCAGGTTCGCGCCTAATAGAACATTAATTTCACGGAAACGGCGAGGTCGACAAACTTTATTTTGTTCTTCTAATGACCATTGCACAATACTAGACAAACATCAGGTTTAAAGTGGCCGTTCTTCGCCCAGCAGAAGGTACTGTTTGTTTTCTTCCTAGCGTCTAAAAGCAAGTGCATTCTTCGGATGGTGACAAAATGTTTTTAGAACCGCCTATTTTGAACAACACTTGCGAATCTAGAAGAACAGTAACCACTATTATAACAATTGGAGTTATAATATAAATAATATTTATATTCGTTCAGAATTCAGTGTGGTTATAGACGGTGTTCAAGATAAGAAGAGGGCTATTGAAAACGTTGGGCAAATAAAACATTTGAAACGGATTTTCGTTCTTAAGCAATAAAAAAAAGTTTGGCGTTGCCATCAAGGCTGCATTTAAATCGAGTACACTTTATCATAGTTACTTTGAGTCATTGTGAACACCAAAATATAAATTTGTATTTGAACGTTTCCTTTTCAAGAAACCATCAAGCAATTTTTTTATAATACTGTTGCGTTTACTTATTAAATAAATCAAAAATCTTTCTATATTGATTCAACTATATGTATCATGTTAATATTTACTTTTAGAAGGAAGCATTTTAATTTAATTTATCAATAAAAAAATTTTTTAAATTATATTTCGACAATTTTATAGATATATCGACTAATCTTGAAGATAACATGTTAATATTTACTTTTAGAAAGAAGTTTTTTAAATCGACATTCAAAGAATTTGGAATACCGACTAATTTTCTATTTTGGGACTTTTGCTATAATTTTATTTACGTTTAAATTGTTTTTTAAATTTTTACGATGAGTCAAAGAAGCTAAAGGATAATAACGAATACCTTGTGTAGTATCGGTATATTTAATACAAGAAAACATAGTGACTTCAGCACTTAAGCATAACAGATAATTTTTATGTGACAAATATTTATTTTAAAAAAACCATATAAGATTTAGAGTTAAAAAAATAAGAAATAAAAAAAAACTAAAAGTATCCTCCCTTCTTCCTTACCGTCTATCCCTTCTTTGTACAGTAATTTAAAACGATATGGTCACCGGACACGCAATATTAAAAATAAAAGCAATTACGTGTGTACACACTGGATACAATATAATGACACCCCCTTGTATTCTTTGCGCACATAATTCTAAAATATGAAAACATACTCTTGAATGAACATTTTTGCCAAGCGGTTTCAACAATTAGGTCATCATCATCATCAGATTAGAGCACCAAACTAATCATGGCCAAAAAAGGTCAAAATTCGTCAAAAAGTCACGTTGAAAGTTAGATTTGTAAAATTTGTAAAAAACGACATTAAACATTTTCACAAACAAGCGATTAAATACAAATAAAAATATATTTAGGTTAGAGTTATCAAAGCCGCTAATTTATATCAAGCTTTAACATTTCAGAAAAGATACTTAAAACGTGTGGGAATAAGGACTAAGAGGAAGACAAACGAGACAAACTGAAAAAAACTTCATAGTTACCATCGTTTTATAATTTAGATATTTTATTTTGATTGTTACATACTACAGAAAGTTGAAGAAGAAAATCTCAACATCAGGAAATTACTTTTGCCACCCCAAAAAAATCGTCCAAACAACGGTTCAAGAAATGTGTTTAAAATTACTTCTTCAGCCACATTCATTTACACTTTTTGTGATCAATAAATTCGCATTGAAGCGAAAATTATTATCAAGTATTTAACCCATTTAACCCTCGGTCAATATGTATTAATACCACTAGTTTCAAGCCTAAAAATGTATCTTTCTGTGTTTTTAAGCGAAATATGTATTCTGTTAATCCCGAAGATTTGATTTTGATTTGCATTTAATCATAAGTAGCTATCGGGCAAAGTTTGAATTTTGTTCCGTAAAAATTAAACTTTCAAACTGCGTAGTTAGGTTCCTTTATCATGTCAATTAATTGAAAGAAAAGGCGAAAAAAATACTTCAAATTGATGATGAATTGATGCAGCGATAATAATGCAGAATCACCACATGTTTTTAAAACTTGTTTAATGTACAATGTATAAACACGTCTAATGACAGGCGTTAATGCCTCCGGAAATAGGAATTAAATTACTGTCTGGTGAAAACTTCCAATTTATTACCTGCCTTCAACAGTAAAATGCGTAATTTCAAAGATAGACACCAAGTTTGCCACTGATTTTCAGTTGCAAACTGAGCATCCTCAACCATGTGGATAAAAGACTTAACTTAATCTGCTCGTCGAAATTCGTCAATAATCGTTCTCTTCTCAAACGTTATAGCATTCACATGATTCCTGATTCCCTGGTTGATTTATTTGGAGTTCAGATTATTTTAAAGAACATTTGACAACCCTCGGATCAATCTTAAATTAGAATGAAAAAAAGTGCCTGTAAATATCACTCTTTTGTGATAAAACGCTTCACTAGATTGAACTGCACAACATTTTATTTATTTTATAGAAATTTTTTTTTACTTTAAACTGCACTTAACTGTAAAATGCACAAAAATGTAAGAGACCTGAATGACGACTTTTTCTAAAAAAGGAACATTTTTTTGTGGTCTATACTTGATACAATGAACAATGAGTTATATATTCTCAACAACTCAAACTAAATTAATATATTATATTTAATTGATTAAATAATATAAGTTCGTCAACAATTGATTTTTATGTGTTACAATAGTTCAACAATCAGCAGTATTTTTTTAATGTGCAATGCTAATTAATTAATTCGTTCACTACCTACTGACCATCGTTCAGTAAAGTCGTACCTTTTCCCTGTAAAAAACGGTTGCCTTATATGGAATTATTCAATTAAAATACCCATTTTCAAGAAAAAAGCTTCCTGTATCCGAAAGGCTGCCATGGTACCTTGTCGGAATTCTAATTAACGCAGACGGGTTCTCAAAGGTTTAAAAAACGCATAAACAGGAAACATGTGCCCTCTTTAGAAAGATTACTTTAAAAGCGTTAAAAATTTGAAAGTGCACGTGTTTGTGTTTGATAACATCATATGCACTGTAGACTTCTGCTTATTATAAATAAATACAGTCGCGTTTTTGACAAAGTTTGTGTAATATACTCAAGGTGTGATTGGGGATAAGTGTGTAACTTAATGAGAAAGGTTGTAGTCATATGCTTTCCATAAATTTTATGATCGCATATTGTCTTTAGTATCGGTAAATTTAACACTTTTTGTTCACTGTATTCTTGGGCAGTTGCTTACAAAATTACGAAGATACCAACTAGTAGAAAACAGAAATGTTATCAACGGAAAACTCATCCTTGTTCGACATTCTTTCAGCTTTCACATGTGAGTGTCTTTAGAAATGTCCAACAAGCGTAAAGTGCAATTCAATAGTGGATTGCTTTAAGATATATTATATTTAGTTTGTTCCGCACTGGATCTTTTAATTTATTGTTCAAATATCAAGAAAGTGCCAATTGCAGATCCGATGAAAGTGTCTTTGAATATTTTACATTTACAACAATTTCTGAAAAACTATGTTTTCTCAATGTTCAAACATTTCATGCGGTTCTACGTGCTTTGAGGACGTTGTCTGCATAAAATGGCAGTAATTTTAAAATACTCATACTTTTCGAGACGTTTTGAATGTTACGTTATTTGCTTTGTGTGCCAGAAACACCCAGCTTAGTTTTGACCTTGATGATCAATTGGGGGCAATTAAAAGTTCAATCTAATTTTAAGTTTGGTTAACAGGTGCAGCTCAATTAAGCCATTAAAAGACACACATTTTGTTAAAATGTGTCTTTTAAACAATAATTTTTTGAAACTATATCTTTTAATAATATTTTTGTTTTCGGATAAGATTGTGGAGATGATGTGACAATAAAAAATTTTAACAATCTATTTTAGCAACATCTTTATAAAAAAACAGCAATTATAATGTTCTTTAAATGCCTTTAATGTATTCGTTTATGTATGTATATGTATATATAATTTATGCCATGAACAGAGTGGTTAAAATGTTTAAACATCTTTACATAATCGACTGGGACATTTACATATAATCGCATCATAATCAAGTCGTTTCACATGAATATTATTCATTCGTATGGTAAGTTGGATATGATTAAAAATCCATGCACTCGTTAATAACAACATCACCAAGCACTGATGATAATTACAGGCCGATAGGCTCATTATGATGCTATTGCGCTATTCATTTTGAAATGTGCTCACAGAAAACAAATTGATATAATTAACAATGCGGAAAAGTTTAAGAAAAAAAAACGAAAATTAACCGTTGTGATATTACTTAAGACAAACTGCTATACTAAAGTATATCAAAGGTTTATAATTGTCAAAGTGTGTTTATTTAAAAAAGCTTAGATCGATGCGATACTTTTTTGAAAAGGACCATATGGGAAAGCAATTAAGAATCGCATCCTCGTTTGTTAGACTGGTTTAAAAGATGTTTTACTTTGATTGAAAGTTGATATGTTAAAGCGAAAGTGGGTTCATAAATATTTTCTTTTTCTCAAAAATATCGATAATTTTTGCGGCATCTTGGTCATAACAATTTTTGCTTTAAAATATTAACATTGACTCCACTCCAGTAACCTTGCCACGAATCACACTGATGTTAATTAAGAATTATTTTCCATTCCACTTACTTTTTAAACAAGCAGGCAAGCAAGTGCCAGTTCTAGGAAGCATATATGATATTAGAGCTTTGCAAGATCAACTTGTTCCAACAACGTTAAAAAGCTCATAATTTTAGTTAGCAATCGATGGAATTTATTTGCCGGACAAGAAGAGAGTGTGTGCTTGAAAAGCTAATTACTCTTTCGGTTTACTATTATTCATTACATATTTTTTATT